CGTGCTCACCTTCCCTGGCAGCGGCAAAGCGCCCTTTGGCAGCCCCGCGGCCGACGCGCCCCCGCCCGCGGTCGCCGCGGCCGAAGTGCCCGGCTCGGAGGGCGGCAGTGCCACTGGGGAAAGCGCCTGTCACTTCGAGGGGCAGCAGCGGCTCCCCGGGGCACCAGCCCAGGGGAGGGCTTTCTTCGGGCCCACTCCGTGCTCCGCGGACAGGCTGGGGGAAGGGAGACTGGAGGGGTAGGGTTGGGCGCGCACCAGAAGAAGCTTAACCTGTTGCCATTTTTTTTGTTTTCTGTCCTGCCCTTATCCCTTACCCCTTTATTTCCTGCAACAGCCCTACGGTGCCTCCCCCGGCTTCGGGAAAGAGCCGGCGCCCCCGGTGGCGGTCTGGAAAGGACACTCGTTCAACACCATCTCCGGCCGAGAAGCAGAGAAATTCAGCGGCAAAGACAGCGGCAAAGGGGACAGTGATTTCAACGACAGCGATTCCGACATCAGCGGGGACGCTCTGAAAAAGGATCTCATCAACCACATGCAGAGCGGTAAGGACTCTTCTTTGCCAAATTCAGCGTTGCTCCCCTCCCTCCCCTTCGAGGCTGCTAGCCTCCTCTCCAACTCTGTTCCCAGCTCTGTGCCCTATTCCCTCTTTTTTTTTTTTTTTCCATTCCTCCAGTTCCGGATTCAGGATTGCTTCAAACACAGAATTTCAAAATGCCAATTTGAGGCAACTCCACTGTTTGAAAAGCAGCCTCCCCCATCCCCACCTCCATCCTGTTAGGTAGCTGCAAGGGTGATGCTAGCCACCTAAGAAAGGAATTCTGCTTATCTATTATTTTTGTTCCCAGCAAAAGAAGGTGAGTCAGCTTGGTATTCAGATGCCTTTACAGTAAGCAATGGGCCTTTCAATTCTTGAATCGCAGCGATTATCTTTATACACGACTTCCTTTTCAGCTGCCCTGACCTAGGCTGACATATTTGAAGATGGAACCTTGAGTATGTGTAACCTCAGGAATAATCATTATATTCTCTCCACTTCCCTTTTATGTTAGGGCTCTGGGCATGCACCGCGGAGTGTAAGATCCTAGGCCATTCTGACCGCTGCTGGAGCCCGTCCTGCGGTGGACCCAATGCACATCCCTCTCCTCATCCACCAGCCCAGATGTCAACCTTCTGTAAGAGCACGTCCCTGCCTCGGGATCCTCTGCGCAGGGACAATTACTACCAGGCTCAGCTGCCCAAGACAGTGGGACTACAGAGCGTCTATGAGAAAGTACTGCACAGAGACTATGACAGGACAGTCACTCTACTCTCCCCTCCCCGTCCAGCGAGGCTGCCAGACCTACAGGAGATTGGGGTACCCCTCTATCAGTCTCCCCCTGGCAGGTACTTGTCCCCGAAGAAGGGAGCCAATGAAAATGTGTAACCCCAAGCTGCATGTCTTCACACATATAAAGGTCACTCTGAGAAACCCCTAAGTTATTGACCGGTTTCAGTGTTGTATATATAAATATGCAAGATGTGCCTTAAAATGAAGTTGTTGGAAGCTATTTCCAATCACATTGGTACTGTTTGGTATTTGCAAACAAAAATGTAGTTAATGTAATTTTTATGAAATGTGTGCAGTATTTAATTTTTTATCATGCTATTGACTTTAATTTCACTTGCCGCTTGCCATTTTCTTAGTGTTTTTAACCTGTACATTGTGTAATGTAATGTTTGTATATAATGAAATTTTGTTATATTTTTATATAATAAAAGCTAAAGTGGAAGTTATTGCCAAAGGAACTGTCTGTAAGACAAAAAAACAATAACATGTTGGAATTACGTAACAGAAATTTATCTTTCACCGGAAACAACCTAGTGTTTGAGAAGTTTTGCCTTGCCAAGTATAACTTGTATATCTTGAGTCTGTGGTAGATTTCAAGTTCAATGTTATTTAATTATATTTGGTTTTCTGTAAACCGTGTCACTTATAAGCACAGTAATAAAGGATTTGTCATGTGTTTGAAGAATCTGCTAATTGCTTTTCACGAAGTTGCCTACAGTCAGACATTCACAAATGTTTGAGTGCAGAATTAAGCCTTCTTTCAAGTGCTAATTATTTGGGCATTATTCATGTTCATGGTGAGACCACGTGGCACTTCAAATATTGCAAAATTTTACCCAAGGATTAAAAATACTTTGTTGATTTTTGTAAATGTGTGCATCTCCACATACAAAGTGCCTTGAAAAATTCATAAGACATGGAATTAAATGACAGGTTCATTTCAGTGCAAAAATTTCTGGAAATCCATGCATCATTTTTTCATAATATGCATCTTCCACTAACTTTTTGAAGACCACTTATATATCGAGCACCCTAGAAAATTTCTGCCCTCAATTCCCGTTGAGTGAATAAATATTCTCTCTACAAATATTTATTGAGCACCTACCAAAGGGTAAAGGAAAGCAAAGTTTGTTTTTTTTTCATTCACGAATTAAACAAGCATCTGTAGAGCTGTTATAGCTGCCAGTAATGCCTCTGTGAGCTGGGGTTTGAGAGGAAAAAGCCAGAGTCCCAAGAAACTCAGCTTGTTAGGAATGTTAGTATCAAGAATATATTCAAATTTATAGGTAAAATGATAACGATGCTTGAGAGTTGCTTTAAAATTTTCTAGAAAAAAACATGGGACTCGATGAAATGAAATTGATATACTGTTGGTAATTGTTAATGCTAGCAGAAGTATATGCTGGGGGTGGGATATTATATTAGTCTCTTTATGTGTGCTTGAAAACGTACATAATGGAAGGTTTTTAAAAAGACACTTAAGAGACCTGTGCCTATGTCTTATAATCTGTGCATCTCATTTGAAGTGAAAATGATGATGATAATGAAAGCTAACATTTACAGAGCAAGTTTTTATATGAGCGAGTCTCCTTACAAATTGTGCTGCTTGAATTACCTCATTTAATCCTCAAATTACCCTCAAGAGATGAAAACTATTACTTAATCAATTTCGTAGATAAAGGAAACTGAGGCAGGTTAGATAAAGGGTTGAAAATGACCCAGCTAATACGTGGCTAAGGTATAATTTGAACCAAGATTACTCAGAGTAAAAAATTAAAATGAAGTCATGAAAGAGGGGATTTTTTTGTTTGTTTTTGTTCTTTTTTTTTTTTTCAAACTTGAAAGAAGCAGAGTTAGGTGGAAAAGTCCCAACGCGTTGCCTGTACTGCATGATTATTGTTTAGCCCTTTGTATTTGTGAAGTGCCTGTGTTCCTTTATTACTAATTATAGAGTGTGAGGCACTGTAATGAATAGAGGAGCCCTCAAAGCTGCCTGTTGAAGTCATAATTGAAACCAGTGGTGGCTCCAAGCCGAACAGCAGGGTGGGCACACACAAGTGCTTTGCCACCCACGGCCTGTGCAAAGTTCAGTGGTTTCTGCAGGCAACTGAGCTGCACATGTGCCTGACGAGCTCAGGCTGCCCAGACCTCAGGTTCTGAAAGAAAACATTGGATGTAGGCCGATTACCAGGCAGCCCCAGAGCCATGATGGCCAGGCCACAGGGGAGAGAATCCCAGCTGGACCTCCCATTATAACATCCAAAGCTTTATTCTCCCGCCAGTCCTATCAAATGCAGAGCAGAAGAATGAATAATGCCACACTATGGCCTAAAAGCATTCGGTCTCTATTTGTGGCTTTTGTCCTTCCAAAGTAAAATGGTGTTATTGTCATTATTTTATTTCATTCTATGCAAGTTATTTCATTACTCCAAAAATTCAAGTTGCAAAACCTCTAGGAGTTCATTACCATTATTTTCTTTAGAGAAATGACCAATGAAAGACTTTATTTTTGCTTGGAACTTTCAAAAAACCAAGCACACCATTCAGCCCTTAAAATCGTTTAAAGAATAAAGGGTTGGGAGTCCCTCTAAGAGCCAGCAGTAGAACTCTTGGAGAAACTGGAGCTATATGAGGGAGGTTTTCCACTTTTCTCAGAAATGATTACTCTGAAGAACACTTTTTATTAAAAAAAAAATGCTGTTTTACTGGGACTAGCAGATGGCATAATGGTTATGTCACTGGACTCCCACATAGCCAACTATGGTTCGAGTCCTGGACCAAGCAGCTAAAAACTCTCATTGGGTGAGTGTGCATACATGCCCAAAATCCCGAAAGGAGAGTGGAGGAGAAAGGCTTGCAGTATGGCCATCCCCCGGGGGCTGGGGGTTATTTCTCACTTTCTGTCTTTCTGGTTAGTGCACATGCCTTTCAGAAAAAATCTCTCTTAAAAAAATATATTGCTTCTTAAGTGAGTCTATATATATGTAGGCTACTTAGCACAATGCCTGGCCTATGGTAAGTGCCCGCTATATTCATCCTACTTCTCTTTCCTTGCCTTTCCTTAAAGCCAGTCTCCACCATAACTAATCAGCACAGCCCCATCCACTAAGGAAAATAAAGTAGACCCAGCCTGTCTGGCTCTGTTCTGATCCTGATTTGTTCTCTTCACTTCTTCCACTTTCACCAAATAGACCAGAGCCTCACGTGCAGTCAACACTCCACAGACTAGTGTGGATAAAGTTTGCACCACATGCGAACTCACAAGCCTTAGAGGTTTGTGATGGTAACACAAATAGCTCTTTGGAGGTGGAGGCCAACAACCCAGGGGAACCTTGACAGTGATCACTGCGTCATGGGAAGACCCATGGGGAAGACAGAGGTCACCTTGAAGGAGAAAGTAAAGCCAGACTTTACCTATTTCACATTTTTGTCTCTGGCCCCATTGACTTGGCTGTCCTACACTTCTTCCTATAATAAAATATCCATCAGAGAAACCACTTCACAAAATTAAAATGTAAGTGGTTTCAACATCTATTGAAAAATGCATTCTGAAATAGAGCAAAAACAGGATGCATATCTCCAAACACAAATATATATACATATGGATGTGTATGTGTGTGTGTGTGTGTGTGTGTGTGTGTGTGTGTGTATAACTCAGGATGAGCTCTGTGCCATAATTAGCTAAATACCTGGCTTATTTCACTTGGCAAATACAAGCTTTTATCATCTAAAAATTCCATTTTAGAAAACAAGCATATTCATATTAGTACTGAATTCGGCAACAACAGGATAATTGGAATGCTGTAAGGTTTGAAAGCAAACTGAAGCAAAGTAATACAAGACTCAGTGGAGCACTGTGCTCTGCAACAACTCAGAAGAGCTTTGAAAATGCTGTCTTGGTTTTCAACAGCTATGCGATAATTCAAAAGAGTATTTATTATTCCCTTTCTTCAGAGAGAGACAATCTGCAATGGAATTCACCAGCAGGTTCAAAGTCAACTAATAAGTGAACAGTAGGTAGAATGAGACACCGGGCTATTTCAAAAGCCCTCACTAAACCCACCAGATTAAATGTGCTCTTTTAGCAAGGAGGGAGGTATCTTCATTCATTATCAGAGTCAGAATTTGTTCCCACACAACCTGTTTAAGGAATTTGAACATGTTAGATTGAAGCCTGAATAGTGAGACACAGAATTAGGACGCTTCCATTCGCTGACCCAGTATGACACTTGGTTCCACTACAGACTCACTCACTTAGCATGCCCACGTGAAAATCATTCCCTATTTCCTGCCACCATTATTTCCAAAACCATCTCTCTAGCAGTTGCTTTGAATTCACTAAGTGGGACTGCAAATTTTAGATCAAACTCAAAATACAAAAGTGTTTAAGACTCCATGAAATTTCTTACTTTCAATCACTTACCAAAATCTATTGATTTTACCTTCTAAATGTTGTTAATTGTCCTTTCACTACAGCAGCCATGATGTTCTGCCCATATGCCTGATGCTGACCCGCAGTGGGCTCTTTCAGTTGCACTATGACAGTGGACACTTTCAGTGCCACTGTGACATCCTGATTGATACACGTACACACATACACACACACACACATATCCATCTCCTGCATCGGTCTCTGCTAGTGGAGATTTCAGAGGGCTTGGGGGCCCACCTGAAACTCCTTCAGCCTGTGTGCAGAGCACTTGGAAACACTGGGGATTAAAGGTCTGCCAAGGCAATGCTCAAACAATGAAGGACAGGAGTCAGCAGATAAATATCCCAGTTTCCCCATCTTTTGGAGGAAGCCTTCTGAGCAGTGTTCTAAACAGACACCTTGAGGGGCCCCAGTGAATTTGAGCTCTAGTTGTCCACAGCAGCAGCCCACCCAGCAGCACTTCCTTTGGCTTTCCTACCTTCCCTTGTCTCACACTCCTCACTCTCTCATTTGGGCTTCTTGAGATCACTTCCCCCAGTGAACTACATCCACTCAAGTCCTCGTGGTGTGTGCTTTTAGGGGAGCTGTCCAAATTAGGATGAGTGTGTAAGAAGAATGTTGTTTGTTTGTTTTTCAGACACTGCACTAAGCCCTTTCTGGGTATTATCTCAGCTAATGTTCACAACCTTGGATTAATGCATATATATAGGGAAAGTAAGGCTTAGAAAGGTAAGGTAACTTGCCATTGGATGCACAGAAACTGGGAATGGGGCCAGCAAGTGACATGGTGATTAAGGTACTGGACTCCCATGTGGCCAAACCACACTGAGAGCATAGGAAGTGGCAGCTTGAAACATGCCAGGCACGTGTGTGTGTGTGCCCAAAATTCCAAGAGAAGTATGGAGAAAGGATTGCAATGTGGCCACCGCCTCCCCGCTGCAGGGTGATTTCTCACTGCCCCCACCTCTCTGGAAAGCACATGTGCTCTATAGGAAAAAAAAAAAAAAACCAGAAACGTGTCTGATATGAAATAAGGTGTGACTTCCTTATTCAAACTCTCGCTGCTGCTTTTCTGCGTCCCCAGCACAAATCTCCTACCTGCTCTCCCTCCGTGCTCACTGTCTGCCTGTCCACCTCTACTCCAACCTCCACATAGCTTCCATGCAGATCTTTTTCTAAATATCTGATCTTGTCACTCTCCTGATTAATTCCCTCATGACTTCATGCCACCTTTAGGATAAAGTCCATGTG